TTAGGGTGACCGTTGTTGAAAGGACAAATTTTTTTTTTAAATTCAATGGAACTCGTCACGCCGGTGTGATGAGTTCCAATGGGTAAAAAATTTTCATCTCTTAAAATAGTGTACATCATCTTCAATCTCTTACATAACACATTCCTTTCATCTATTACACAATACACTCCTTTCATCTTCAATCTCTTACACAACACAATCCTTTCATCTAACCAAATACATTTCAAACAATGAGCAACAAATTCTTTACAGTTGTCCATTATAATGGAGAAATTCTACAAACTGATATTGGTGTTGTGTTTAAGTCATACAAGCCCATCAGTATGATGTTCCCTATTGTTAGGATTTGAAGAGGCTCAATTTGAACAACTGAAAGAGTTGCAAAGGGGTGAATATATAATAATTTGATTAGGGAGTAAGAAGAGCAAAAGATAGAAAAATTTGGCATAATGATTTAAAGTGGTTTGACTTATCAACCAAGTCTACATCCACTCCCTAAGTTTCTCACTTAGGATTTTCTAACAAATTCACTAATTTGTTCTTTCTTTTAAAGGATCAAGAGATAACATTTACACTCCTTAGTTTTTCACTTGGCCTACATGAACAATTTCTAAAGAATGGTTGTCAAATCCTCAATTATGTAGGAAGTTATGGGGTTGACCTGAATCTAGTTGAATTCATACTAATATGAATTATCCTCAAAGAGACCCAGGTCTACCCAAACTTTGTGGCCACTGTAGAGGTGAATGTCATAACAAAAAACATTGTCCTCATCTTCCAAAATATCGAGTTGGATGCTAAAATATGCATTAAAAATATTATATTATTTTTTTACTTTTACTCTTTTAACTGTCTTTCACTAGGTTTTTAGTTTATACTGTAACTATGTTTTTTTTAAAAAAAAAACTTGTACTCTTTCTACTATGTTTGAGTTTTTTTTTTTTAGTTGAGCATCATTACGTCAAATTTTCACTTCAAATCTTATATAATTACCAAATATTACTAAATAAGTTTACTTCATCCAATAATTACTTAATAATGAAGACAACTTCATACATAAACTTTCGTATCTTTCTTTCTTCGTCTTATTCTTCTCAATTTCTATACTAAAATTTTAATTTTTTCTTCCCTCTCAACGAGTCGTTTGCTACGCCGCTTCGGTAATTTTTTAAAAAATTTAAAAAAAATAAAATATTGAAAATCAGGTGTGAGTTATCCTTAAATTTTATAAACTACACTAAATATCAATAACAAATTTTAAACATTTTTAAGGGTGAATGCATATATATTATTGATATGATTTTTTTATACAATTAAATGTCGAGTACAAAAACTTAAATAAACAAATTTATTACTTATATTTACGCAATTCTTACCGATGTCGAGGAGTGGTAGAATAGTAATGACGTGGTGTTCGTCGATTTTGTCTTGGTCGCCCACCTTCGTTATTTTCGCCTTCTTGCGGTTTCGGTGTACTAAACATTACTCCACCACTTTGATTTCCACCTTCGGGTGAAAATGATGGAGTATTCAATGTATTTGATGCCATCATTGACGTCATCGACTCAAATTACACACCGAAATTGTCACGAGATTAATCATATTGAAGATGATCATACTGTGGACCACTTGCTCCCGTTTCTTCTGTTGAAAATTGTTGTGAAGGTGGCACTTGATCCCAGGAACTTCCTACCCACACCGCTCGACTCTCCATTGATGCTTGATATGGAGCATATCCACCATAACTTTCTCGAGATGGATAATAATCGGCGGAAGCATAAGATGAAGATGATGATTTTTGTGTGTGTATATTTTGCCTTTATTTTCTCCCATTCAGACCGATCCTCCGGCATTGTCAAGCATGATTTCCCATTTGCTTCATAATTTTGGAGGTAAGGAGAAACTGTGAAATCAAAATCTTCGAGTTGAACATCGGAACTGTAGACACCCATTTTTTTATTGGGATTAAAATATATATTATATTTATTATTATATATTATAGTATATTAAATTATTATTATTATTATTATTTAGTTTATTTATATTTTGTGCAGAACCATAAAATAAAGCCCAACAGATTATAAATCCAAGCATCCCATGAAGCAGATGGAGACCTGATCCATACCCAGTAACCCAAAATCTGACCCAACTTGAAACCCTAGAAACCCTAAACAAATTAAAGTTTCAACACATCATCTGTTGCGCCGCCGTCAGAGTCAATTTGCACAAATCATCCACAATGACACATCACCTGCTTCAATCAAACAAAGTCAAGCAAAATTAATCATTTCACCAAAACACATCAAAATCTCACTAAATGTGTAGAAAATGAGCATGCAATGACAAGAGGATTTGGTATTGAAAAGAGAAATAAAAAGGAAGAAGAAAACAGATAATAGGAGAGGAGGAGAACCATCAAGGATTCGAGGAGGAGAACCATCAAGGATTCGAGGAGAAAACGGATTCAACACAGAGGGGGGAAAATACGAACAGAAGGGGGGATTAGCAAGCAAGAAAGGGAAAACAATTGTAACAAAATGGGTTTTTTTTCTTCAACAGACAAAAGATGCAAAACAAATTGTAACGGGTGGAGAAATAATTTGTAGAGGAGAAATTTTCTGTTACCTTATTCAAAACAAGAAAACAGTGTACAAAGGAGGTTTTTTCCTCTCATTCGAAGATCAATGAAAACACAGCAGCTCTCTCTTTTCAACGAGCCAAAGCAATACAGAGCCAAATCATTCATACAAGGTTTTCTCTTCATTATTATTTACAGTAGCATTTTGTTTATTCATTTTAATGATTTTCAAATTAGATGCCAAATACAAGATAAAAATAAAGAATAAAAAGGGTTTAGAAATTTACCTGGGTCGTGCGAAATCATATGGGGTCTTGTTAACTCTGTTTGGTCGTCTTTCGGATTCCATGTTTAAGAAAAAAGAATTTAGGTTGGCCAGTAAATAAAAATCTGAATCAAATCAGAAAGGCAAATCAAATTTTACCTGCTATAAGATTTCACACCGTGTATAAAGCAAAGTCGGGGTCGCGTTCTTAGGTTTCCAAAAGCGTTTCATATTATTCTCTTGTTTCGGTTTGGATCTAGGAGAGTAGATTCTTACCCATAGACCTTCTTCATCAGTGTTAGGATCAAAGCGACGAGAGTTTTAGGAAGACTATGTTCTTAGTTTATTGATTCTAGGTCTCAATTTAGTGATTAGAGAGCAAAACGGAGAGAAAAATGAGATAGGGTTTGGGATCTCAGTCTATTGAGGAACAAAAAAAAAATTAAAGAGAGCGGCGCTGATGTTTTTAGCCAAGGGTTGTATGCTATAAGTCAAATTTAACTTAATTTAGGCTTTAAGTTAGTTGGGTAAAATGGCAGTGTTTAGCCTTGGATGAATACACGTGGGGTGAGTGGAATGATTACATGTGAATCCATTAAATTAGGTTACTGGAAGTAGGTTTAGTTTTGTTTTTTTAAGTAATAAATTTTATATTATTTTAATATATAATGCATTTTTTACATGTACATAATTTTCTATATTAAAAGGTCATATTTGTCGGATAATTTTGTATATTATTTGTTAATTCGATGATTATTTTTATTTATTAATTTTGTATGTTATCCTCGTTTGCATAACTCGATATTATTACATAATTGAATTAAGGTTAATACCCTTTTAATTTAAAATCGTTTTAAGTAGGTTGTCTTAACTTATTCGAGATCCGCTTTTAACGAATTTAAAATAAAAGTGTATCCCATTAGTGGTACCTAAAATATTAATTCATCACTTTAAAATTTGGTAATAGAAGAAAAAATGTTGGGCTATTTAAATTTATCGAGAAAATGTTGTTATAACTATTTAAGATCTGGTCTCGATATTTTTAAATAATCGAATATTTTTTATCTTTCTAAAGGCTGGATAATTTTAACTTATTCGGTCTGTTTTTTTATGGTGAAATTTGTATGTTGTTATTTTGTTGGGGATCAAAAATTAAATTAAATTTGAATTTATAAATTTCATTGCAAAGATATTAATTAAGCGACACAGTACCAATTTTGGGCGCTGTGGGGGTGTTAATTCTTCCCTACGCATAACCGATTCCCGAATCTGTTTTAACCTAATCTTTGGTAAACGCAGACTAGCTTTTGTCTTAAAAATGATTTTTTTTCTTAAAATTATTTTTAAAAGACATTTTTAGGTATTCGACCTACCTAACCCAAAGGTCGATGGCGACTCTCTTCAGTTTATTTCAAATCATCCCATTTCCAAAAATAAAAGTCGTAACTGTTTTCTAAACAATTAAACGATTGTCCTGCCGGAAAATAGTTACGAGAGGAACGATTAAGCAAATGTAAATGCCTATCATGCCATTGTTGTATGAATATAACATGCTTCCTCGGCCAATCTTCTGTACGCTTCTCACGCGCATATATTTTATGGAAATTGTCTATGTTATATATGGACATTTCCATCGGTTGGTGAAACCCAAATTGTCCCAAAATTCTATCGGCGGCATGGATCTCAACAATTGTAAAATGGAGCAATGGTGTTACGGCACACCATGTCTCCGCTCCTTCAAAGAAAATGGCGGTAGACACCGTTGGATCTCCGACTCACAATACGACAACCAATTAAACTATCAAAAGTATTATGTTAGTATAATTAAAGAATTAATATTACAAATTTCAATGTTAATGCAAAAATTATTAATATTTACCGTATATCTACCAGCTATTTCGATCTTCATCCGGATATCTACTGGTTGCACTCGACAACTTTGTATTGGTTATTCAGTGTCGCCATCTAAACAAAAAAATAACAACTACATTATTTATTGTCATTTTCAAAATATTTAAATAAATATTTCAAAATATCAAAACTATAAATATATGAATTTGCCTTGCAGCAAGAGGAAACTTTATAAAAGCAGATATAATAGGCGACAAAAACAGAAGACGATACCACGTCATGACTGGAGTAAAACTAAACAACCAGTTACATCCGCTTTTTTCCACTAACCACTATGGTCGTCTTTGTAAAGTTCACGATACAAAAAGTCAAAATTGCAGAACCTAAACTATATTGGAGACATACAAGGAAATCCTTCAATATTGAAAGATATTGGGGGTGCATCAAATTGTCCGATTTATCCAGTAACAAGATCCCTCCAATCAATGCCATAAGATATGCTCGAGCTGCATATTTCACCTCTTGCTCCGTTGATTGTCCATATACTCTAAATTCTCTTTCTAACCACGTCATTCGTATTCGCATCTCATCAATGACATCAGTTAGAGCCTCATTTCCCAATAAATTATAAATAAATGCATATTGCGCATAATTGTTGCGAAGCACCAATGGTATACCATTAATCGAAACGCCAAATTGATACACATCTTTTAATGTTATCGTCACTTCACCAGAAGGAAAATGAAATGTATGTGTTTCGGGCCTCCAACGCTCAATCAACGTCGATATCAGTGTCGTCATCACCTTAAAATCACGAAGAAACGTCGATGGATATAATCCGAATTTTTGAAGATATATCATAATTCGCTGATGTGGCTCTTCATTCGTCATTCCTCGATGACAAATACCTCGTTCTTCTTGATACAATTTGAAAAATAAATTAATTAATAAAATTATATAAATAATTATTATTAATATTATATTTTTTCAAAAGTAAAATAAAATAAAATAAATTAAATTAAATTTACCGTAATCAACTCGGTTAACGAAATATGAATATTATAAAGACATAACATTTCTTCACTTGAGGACATTTCAACACAAAATCTTCAACAAAAAAGTTTTTACTCTCAATAAATGTTTGATTCAAGTGAAAAATCAATCAAACTCAAACATCTATTTATACTACTCTATCCAACGGTTATAAACGGCTAGTTTTTTCAAATTGAAAATAGCATGTGAAACTCATCACACCGGCGTGACGAGTTCCATTGGATTTAAAAAAATTTACCCGTTCACCAACGATCGAAAAATTCAATTTTTTGACCCGTTGGAACTCGTCACCTCGACGTAATGAATTTCTTATCCATTAAAATAATATATATATTTTTACGATATTTTTTAAAATTCCAAAAAATTAATTTTTAATAGGACTCGTCACGTCCGCGTGACAAATCCCTAAAAATATATTAAATATATTCATTCCCAAAAACTCACTTCTCACGACCCATTAAAAAATTATATCTTACATAACTCATCAGTCTGACTTGAAGAGTTCCAACTACACTGTAGCTTTTACCGTAGATCCCAAAATAAAAATAAAATTACCTTATTGGGCTAAATAATCGGCCCACTAACAATATTTCACTAATTCCGCCTCTATAAGCATCGATGAACAGACTCTCTACCAGTACCACCCACCGCATCCACCAACCACTATTTTCAACTTGAAAGCTATTTGCCATAGCCTGCTCTCCAAACTCACAACCAGTCAAAGCACCCACCTGCCAGGCTGCCCTTACCCCATTTCCCTGCTCATCTTCTTCGTCCCCAGAAGGAAACACAAGATTTCCTTTTGAAAACAGCTTAAAAAGTTTAACCATTTTCCATATACACGAAAAAAGGACTAACAAAACAGGGAGGAAGAAACAAATGGCTCTCAATCTCACCTCCGCTATTCCCATAACGCTCTTCCTCCTCTTCCTTCCCATCCAATCGCCTCTCGCATCGTCATTCCCCCTCACCGTCAGCCTACGAAGTCCTTCAAGCCTACAACTTCCCCGTCGGTCTTCTCCCCAAAGGGGTCGTGAAGTACGATTTAGACGAATCCACGGGTCGATTCCATGCCTATTTAAACGGTACGTGTAGTTTCTCGTTGGAAGGATCTTACCAACTCAAATACAAATCGACAATCAGCGGAATCATATCCAATAACAAGCTCGAAGACCTTTCTGGGATCAGCGTCAAGGTCTTTTTTCTATGGCTCGACATCGTGGAGGTTATTAGAGATGACGATGAGCTGGATTTCTCGGTAGGGATTGCCTCTGCAAGTTTTCCAATTAATAATTTTTATGAGTGTCCGCAGTGTGGATGTGGACTGGATTGCGTTAATGGGAAAGTAAGCAAGCTTAGAGTTAAGTCTTCTTTAGCTTCAATTTAGAGGAATTTCTAGGGAGAAAATGTTTAAGTCATTGAATGTTAAGTTTTCATCTTGGGTTGAATTGAAATGGGGTTTTGGTTATATATTGAAATTTGTAGATGTTTAACTCCTTCTGTGTTTAGAATTCAAACTCTCGTGTGTGTGTTTGTTTCATATTATATGGTTGGTAGTGCTTTAAGTGCTTGGATTAGGGTTTAGGGTTTATCAACTATGCGATGGGACTTTGACATATAGTTCATCTTTTCTTTTAAAACCATGAGTTAAATTGTAAGAATGCTAAGCCTTGGGACATGTTTCTATCTTGTTATATTGCCGTGGGGGACACTGAATGTTAGTTTGGGTGTTAATAGAAGGCTATGCTTTGCAAGATTATCTCTTGTATATGATAGTGGAACTGCAAATTTATATCGCCATTTGTGAGAATGGAGGCATAGTTGCCAAAGAAGATGATCGGCGATGATGAGAGTGTATGAAGGAGTGAACGACCCAAACTAATAACCAACTAACAGATTACTTAACAACTCAACTAATATTAACAAATTCAGTACAACTCAATAACTCATTAGTCTATCACTATTAAGTGACTGTTGAGTTAAACACAGGTCGAACGGGTATAAAGGAGGACTAGAGCAGACACGAGAGTAGTGACTAGTGAGTATCGCTGAAGGTAAAGTAGGAGGTAGTAATTGGACATTAGTTGTAGGTGTAGAAAAATACAGAATGTTTCCGGCAGGAATTATATACAAGTGAAGATTTCAATCATGTTTGAATCGTATTGTCATTAGCGAAATGCCTTACAATAACTCAAGTGCTAGGTTGAGATGTATGCAACTCCCACGGTATGGTTCTACAGGCAGGATCATTGTTACTCGGTCTGCAGGTACCCATAAGGCTTAGCAGAGAACTCCAAGGATTTCAATAAGGAAAAAAAATCATTAATTTGCATATTGTAGGTTTTTCAGTGGCTAATATTTTTTTTTTCATATAAATCTGCATATCCTGACTAGTACTTGTCATATTGTGCTCTGCAATCTGCATACATCGTGATTGCCCTGATTACTTGATTGTTAAAGCATGTTCGATTCAAAACATGGAATTATAAGTTCTAAATTCCAGTAGTTTTGTTGCTTGATGTATCTTCAATTGAAATTCTATGACGACGTGCCATATCTGGTCGTTTGAAGTGATTAAAACTGTCGACTAGTTTGACTGGATTATTTTATATTAGCTGATAACAGGCAATCTTTATAATGTTTAAAATGCACTTGTAAGGACATTTAGACCTGGATTAAGGCTCAGGGTTTGCCTTGGAAGGTAATTGAGCTTAACTTTTAAGTTTCTTTGATTGCAACATGACTAATTGAGAATGTCTTATGTATTCAGTAAATTGGAGATGATGTCTGAAGTTCTTACTCTAGTTTATGACGCATGTAGCTTTTAGGGATCACAGCACTGTAATTTTCAACAATCTTGAAATGCTGAAGCTATTGATAAATTGATATTTGTTCTACCAAGATGTAGGAAAATTCTAGAAATGGGTTAGTTGATAAGGTCTTGGGGCTGAAAGATAAATGTTTGACAGATTTTAGACTAACTCATTGCTAGATGTTATCATCTCAGACTCAAATAGAACAGGACAAATATCACATCATTGTAATTTGTGATAAAACCTTCCTTGAAGTTCCAGTTCTTATCCATTGAACTAGGCTGTCTCTTCTCTTCATTAAGAAGATATTTCAACTTTGTCTGAACCATTTCTCACTGTTGCGGAAACATTAAATGTCCGATCCATTTTTTACTGTTTCAGAAGCATTGAAACACTGTTTGATATGTTTACATATATTGAAATTTATTTGTTACCCTTGGGGACGATATTTACCCGTGATTACACGGTCAAGACGAAATTATTTTTAAGATAATGATTCTTCAATGACATTGATTATTTTTTCTTATTTACGTTCTGCTTATATTTTTTTTCACTCCATTATTTACGTTCGGATGATCAAATGCATTGTCGACTTGGCCTTTTCTATTCTTGCCGCGATTTGGGTTATCTCTTCTTTTCTTCCAGGGATGAGTGAAGGGAGTGGATAAAGACAGTCTGCCATTAAATTTTTTAAATTATCATATATTTAAATTATTTCTTTACATTGTTTATTGATAATTTATTTTTGTTCTCATAGAATTTTAGAAGTTTGTCTCCCTCTCAAAATTATAAAAGTTTTCTAATCTGATTCAATTTGAGACGGTAAAACATACCACTAAAATATAGATGGAGTAATATAGAATTACACAAATTAGTAATATAATATTTAATCATTGAGAATTAAATATTTAATCGTGTACTATTTAAAATACTATATAAAAATGAAATATATTATTACAATAATATAATGATCGTTGAGAAAAAATATTTAAATAATTATAATTGAATTGAGAGTCGGTTAACGGGTGATCCTAATTCAGTCAAACATTTAATAGATAGTATACATATTATCATATAGGTTTTATTATAGACTCGAGTTTTAGTAGAATATATCTTAGGCTTGAGTTATATCAAATTCTAATTTTTCAGTCTCTAATTCTTTTAAACTTGAATGTTATCGGATTAAGATCGACACGTACGACCTTTCGTGTTGGGGTTTATTTAGTTAAAAATCTTATGGAATTCAAATGGACCTAGCAAACCCTTTTAATTTAATTTTAGGGCCCAAAGATGACCAATACCTAACCAATATCTGCGTCGAAATCTCAACCTTACCGGCCTTCCCTATCGACTGTTCTGCATCCGATTAGGGCAACCACCCCCAGGAGAAAAATAAACCCTGAATTTTAAACATCATCCTCCTCATCCCTGTCACCTCTTTTTTGCTTTAGCTTAGAGCCAGAGCCAGGGGAAACAATGGCGGATGTAAGTCAGGGTCAGGGAGAAGAAATTCCTCCGAATATGACTTTATACATCAACAATCTCAATGAGAAGATCAAAATCGACCGTACGTATTTCAACTCTCCAAATCCCCCCTTAAAAAAACGCTTACATCCTTTTTCTTTTCCTTGATTTCTTTTTTTTTTTCTCGAGTGATGATTGCAGAGTTGAAGAAGTCGTTGCACGCTGTGTTCTCACAATTCGGAAAGATACTGGATGTGTTAGCATTCAAGACGCTGAAACACAAAGGTCAAGCTTGGGTTATTTTCGAGGATGTTAGCTCCGCTACCAATGCTCTTAGGCGAATGCAGGGCTTTCCCTTTTATGACAAGGAGATGGTATATGTATTTTTGCAATTGGTTTCTTGTTTCTGTCATTGATGGAGAGTGCAACAAGTTTCCGAGCTCCGCTTTTAATATGTCAAAATTGTTTTTCCTTGTTTCTGAATAATAGGAAGTATATTATGAAGATATAGGCGGATTTTCTGGATATTTGAAATATCGACCATGTTCTCTATCTGCATAAGGGGCATAGTATTTGCTGCTAATATTACTAACTAACAAAAGCAATGCTTAAATGTTTACAGAGAATACAATATGCAAAGACTAAATCAGATGTAATAGCAAAAGCAGATGGCACTTTTGTACCCCGAGAGAAGCGAAAGAGGCATGAAGAAAAGGGTACGTTCTGCATTGCCCCTTATATTCAGTTGAAAATGCTAAAAGTTGAGCAACTAACTTTTTCTTGTTGTATATGGTTTGGTTCGATCAGTATCGCTGCTGTTTTTGTTGTTGGTAATCAGTTCTTTCCTCTACTATTTCTTGGATCTGGAAGCTTGAGTTTATTAAAATCCTTGTTAGAGCTTTTCACAGCAGACCATTGAGATATTATGGTTGAATTTTTTCAGAATATGCATTTAGATGCTTATATTTTAGACTTTGTTGTATCTTTGATAAGAATCAAGGTTTTGGAGAAGTAAAACTGACGATGCTTATATTTTAGACTTTCAGTACTAAGCATGTGTTCTCTCTCTCTCTCTCTCTCTCTGACGTGTTGCTTATTCTAAACTGTAGCATACCTTTTTATATGTTGTATAGTTCTCTTTCATGTTCTTCTCTTGAGATTTGTATATGTTGTCTCGATGTAGGAGGGAAGAAACGGAAAGAGCAACTTGATCCTAATCAAGCAGCAGCAGGTTTGAATCCAGGTTATGCGGGTGCAACACCTCCTGTAAGTGATATGAATATAGTGTCTTATTATCGATCGACCACTTTTCTCTCTCTATATGAACCCTGGTTGAAATCAACTTTGATTATGCTGTTAGTATGGATTATTTAGAAGGTTATATATTTCAGTCTTTTGTCCACATTTATAACTTTTGAGCTGCTGGATTTGGTTGCTGCAAGAGCATCTTTATTCAGCTACATGGGAATTTTCTTTGCTTTGCTGTGTTGAAAACTTCTGGCCTATTTGTTTGCTCTGATGAATCTTGGATGCTAGTGAACTTGACCATTCTATATCATTATACTCTATGAGACTCGTATACTCTATGAGACTGGTGATGGTGCACAACACTAACAGTTGAAAATTGGATACTTCTGAGTTGTAATCGAATGAAAAACATGGTTATTTGTTTGAGGTTCTAGTTATACTTTTTACTTTGAAATTAGTATCAGTTACATATCAAGAAAAAGGAGAATGTTAAGAAAGTATATATTTCTCATTAATCTCTCCTTTTCCTCCAAAATGCTGCAGCTATCACAATTACCCTACCTGGGTGCTAGACCAATTGTTCCAGAAGCTCCCGCGCCACCAAATAACATTCTGTTTATTCAGAATCTTCCTCATGATGCAACCACAATGATGCTGCAAATGCTCTTCAATCAATACCCCGATTTCATTCTTACATATATATGGTTGAAAGATTTTTTTTATGTTCAACTTGTTATTACAGGGTATGGGTTAAGCTTTTATCATTCGAATACCAACTACCTACCTGACTGCACCTACGTGAGTGACATGCCATGCGACTTTGTCGGCCACGTGAGAAGGAGACGCATGCGACTTTGCCGACCATACGACTTCCTCGGCTACGCATGGCTTTCCATGCTTCTTCGAGGGTTGGCAAAAACGTGTCGACACCAATGCGTCTTCAAGGGGCCTCGGCCAGGATGGCAACGCGACTTCGGGACACTCTGTAGCATTCATCCTATTCCACAAAATAATTTCTACACAACATTATTCGAAGAATTATTTTTTCCGAGTGCATTATCTTAAAAATTCAGCCATATTTTTAGTGTGAAATTCACTTGTGGAATGATCATTTACATCAACTGCATCTTTCAAAACACGTGTCTAACAGAACGTACAATTACCCTACACGCCATTGTAAGGTTGAAACGTTATATAAGAGGACTAAATTGAAAAATATAAAAATCGAAGAGAAAATTATACGAATTTTATATAAAAATAAGTAAATGTATGTTACATGTCGAAAACACGTGTAAGTGTTAGCATTAACACGAGCACAATTACGATTCGAACCAGATGAAAACTACAATAAATGTACGAATCTTATCTTTAATCACTCAAAAAATATATGTTAAAAAATATATTTAAATAGTTAAAAAATTCAAAATATAATAAAAAGGTTAGTTTAACAACTTTTATTACAATGTATTCAATATCTTATCCTATATATCCACGTTCTACAAGCAATACTATATAAAATTTTAGCTAAATCAATGCGTGCAAGGGAGTTGATATGATCACTCAAAGAAGGGCGATTGATGTCATTGCATATTCTATAAGCAATACCATATATGCTTTCTCCCCAACTTTATTTCCTAAGAATGATCCGTGAATTACGAGCATTGTCCATATATGCTTTCTCCCCAACTTTATTTCCTAAGAATGATCCGTGAATTACGAGCATTGTCCGGTCATAAAAGGAATCTAGCCGTCTGAAATTTGCAATTTCAATTGTTTTTATGACAGAAGTAACTGTTTTCTTGGAAATTACTTCAAAAAATATTATAAGGCTCCACTTTAGAAGGCAGTATTGTACTAGTATTCCCCAACACTGACGATTCTGCGAAAATGGAGAAGATAGAGCAAACCACGGTGACCACCAACGGCATAAACATGCACGTGGCATCGATTGGTTCAGGCCCAGGTATCCTCTTCCTGCACGGTTTTCCGAGCTTTGGTACTCATGGCGCCACCAGCTCCTTTCACTGTCATCTCTTGGGTACCGTTGTGTGGATCCCGATTTTCGTGGATACGGTGACACTGACACCCCCGCTTCGGAGGCTTCATACACCAATTTCCATGTCGTGAGGGATCTCGTGGACCTCCTCGACGTGCTTGGTGTCGAGCGTGTGTATTTGGTGGGACATGATTGGGGCGCACTGATTGCTTAATCGTTTTGCCAGTTCAGGCCTGATAGAGTCAAGGCTTTGGTGAACCTTAGAGTTGCGTATCAGCCAAGGAACCCTATGGTGAAGCCCGTGGAAGAGCTCAGGGCTTTGTTTGGCGACGATACTATGTCTGCAGATTCCAGGTAATTGATTCAGGCAACACTTACATTAGTTGTTTTGATTCTTTGATTTTACTTTGACTGTTTATAATACTACTTTACGCTCTAGGAACTTGGGGAGATTGAAGACGACTTAGCTCAATTGGGCACTGAAAAGCTTTTTAAGTTGTTTTTTACCTCTCGTGATCCACGCCCATTTCGTATATCTAAAGAAACTGGATTGAGAGGGTGGCCTGATCCCCCTCCCCTGCCCTCCTGGTGTTCCTAACACGACATCAATTACTTTGCCAACAAATTCAACCGGACTGGATTCACCGGAGGTCTGAACTATTATTGATCTATGGACCGGTAGGTCGTTGAATCTAGCATGCTAAGTTATTGAAGGAATGTCATTTGTATAGCCAAGCTAATTCAATTTTGTTCGCTGCAGGAACTGGGAACTTACGGCACCTTGGACTGGATTACCGATCAAGGTACCGGTTAAATTCATCGTAGGCGACCAGGGCATTACCTACCACATCCCTGGTGTAAAGGAATACATACACGACGGTGGATTCAAGAAAGACGTGCCTTTTCTACAGGAAGTAGTCGTCATGGAAGGAGCAGCCCACTTCATCAACCAAGAAAACCCAGAAGAGATTAGCATGCACATTTATGACTTAATTAAGAAATTCTGATTCTTGGCCCCTGTATTCTGCTACTTCCCTTGCAAGTTCCAACTCTAAAATAATGTGTTGAGACCTTACACGATACAGTATTAAGAAAATAGTTAATGCTCAAATAATTTTGTGAAAACCAATCGGGTAGGAGGAAAGAATGCTCACATTTTGTATTAATTTTGTTACGAATAGTGATGATTGATTAACAACAACAATTAGAATAGTGACGATTTTTTACACAAGACAGAAGAAAACATCCTATCATCACGTTGTTAAATATAATTTAATGATTCAGATAAAAATAAATAATATCAAAAGTTTAATACAAAATTTTACAGGTTTAATGTAAAAAAAATGCCTAAATTATGCGCTAAGTTAATTTTAGGTGCCTAAAGAAGTTTTCGTTAAAAAATAGGTGCATAATATTTTCTCTGTTACACTTTCAAGTGCATGAAGAAGTTTTCGTTAAAAACAGGTACATAATGTTTTCTCTGTTACACTTTCAGGTGCCTATGTAGTATTTGTCATTAAAAAAATTTGTTAAGTGACACGTGTGTTATTTTAGGTGTCATTAAAAAGTGTAACATTGGAAATGTTAGACATCTATTTTTAACGAAAAATTCTTTAGACACCTAAAGTTAACTTAGGGTATAGTTTGGACACTTATTTTTTGTATTACGTCGAAATATAAACATGACAAGTGTCACTTAAAGAATTTTTTTAACGGTCGTACTAGGCATGCACCTAAAAATATAACAGAGAAAACGTTAGACACAACATTAAACACCTATTTTCAATGGAAAAAATCTTAAAACCCTAAATTATAATTTAGGCATTTATTCTTGCATTAAACTAAATTTGAATTTTTTAAAGCTCCTGTATATGTTATGATTTTGTAGTACATATTTTATATATATTTATAACATATTTTTCTTAATAATTTTATTATTAAATACTTAAATATTTATAAAATATTAATAAGAATTAAAGTTAAATTTTTATAATAAATAATGTTATTTAAAGTTTAAACTTATATAATTATGTAATTATAATTTGTACAGTCACATATGCTATAAGAAATTAAGATGTTTTTTGTCCGACAAATTCAATTTTATTCATTTAATTATAAAAGTGTTTAACCTGAATTATGAGTCCGTCAAGAGTTTCCCTTATTCTAATTGGAGGAAAAGAGTACAAATCAATAGGATAATAAACTAAACAACTTCATCAATACATTGTAACCATACTTGCATATTACAACACAAATCTAAACCACCAAAAGCATCAACTCCTTAAAGCTTACCATTACCATCAAACATTGAGTAATTCATGTCTTTTTAATCATGCTTTTACGAGACAATCATCCATAATGTATCTTTTCTACATGAGCAAACTATTGGAATGATCTCTTCAAAGATTCCACCACCTCCAAGGCAAATGACATATAAATGAGAGGTGGTTTATTATCTTGAGACAGTTCTAACGCAACACGTTTTTATTTTTCAGACAAGGAAAATCAAACAGAAGCAATGCAACTCCATGTTCAAACATGTCTAAATAATTATTAAAACAATAATTATATTTTTATGTAATTATACGATGATGTCCAAACATGTTTTTAATATTTTATATTTTTATAATTAAACTAAATAAGAACTTATATAAAAATGTTAAACCCTTATATTTAGATAAGTATACATACAATAACGTCATCGGCCGGCTTATTTCCGACGATTCCGCACAAGGAACTCCGGAAATGCACCATAGTTTTATCGTTTGATTACAGATTCACACGAAGTAATTAGCGTCGTTAGGGTTTTTAGGATCTAATGAAGGGTTAAACTTAATAGCATCTAATAAAGGGACGACGACGGAGAGACAGATGAAAAAACAGACGATGAATACAATGATGTCTGTGATAGACTTCATTGTTTTCACCTCCTGTTTAATGATTTGCTGCCTTTTAGCTCGTTATTCAAGATAATACATATTGAGACAATAATTTTTCAAAAAATGGTTTCAATAACATAAAAGACAACCGCCCGTATTAATTTCTAAAAATGATGAGAAAAATATATGCAGACAATCCATAATTATCGAGCTCTCTTCTTAGTGGATTTGCTTGTTATTAGGCCGAACTTGGTCAAGATTTCAAGGTCGATCTGTGAAAATGAAACGTTTTAAAGTTTTCACTAAAAAACCGAACATAATATTACATTATTAATATTTAATGATCTAGTGATTACATTAAAACTAAAATCAAAATTCAGTTTCAAAATAAAAATGTTATACAATTTAAGGATAAAATCAATACAAACTTTAAAATTTAATGATATTAGAGTAGTTTTACCCTTTTTATTTTAGTTTTACGTATCAACCAATAAAGTAAATAGTCCCCAAACTTTTAGAGGGATTGCATTTTAGTCACCTAACTTTTGAAACTTGTAATACAATCATTAAATTTTTTGTTTGTTTTCAATAAGGCCTCTTCCATTACCTCCAGTTAGTTTTTGCTGAAGTGGCACCTAAACCCCGTCAACCCCTCGTTAACCCCCTTCTTCTTCCTCTTAACCAAAGACGGACAGAGGAGGGACAACGACAAGGAGGCATGACTGACTGGGTTTTAGTTGGAATGGTATGAGGACTCCAACGGTGGCGGCGACATTGTGAACGGATGGCCCAATCGACCAAAAATCAATGAAAACAAAAAAGGGGAGTTGGGGTTTTCAAACGAGATTCAGGGCCCTTTCCATGGCGAAAAGAGGTGAGTCTTGGTGAGTGGTTAGCAGGATTCTGGTTGGAATGGGGCGACGCTCCTACTAGTATTAGCGGTGACGGTTACCAGCAATTGACGACAGAAATAGGGGATGGGTGTTCGAACGGTCTTCTCATGATTTAGGATGAATGATAGATGATGAGTATGAATAGAGGGCCAGGGTGTGGTCAGGAGATGATGTCGGTGGCAATGGTGATATGAGCCACCGTTGACCGGAGTTGGGGTGACCAGAGGTATGAGTGAAGAAGAAGAAGAAGAAGAAAAGGAAAAAGAATAAGGGGGTTAACGGGGGTTGATGGGGTTAGGTGTCACGTTAGCAAAAACTAACAGGGTAACGATAATGACCTTACTGAAAACGAACTAAAAGTTTGATAATTGTATTGTAAGTTTCAAAAGTTAGGTGATCAAAATACAAACGTCCTAAAAATTTGGTGACTAGTTATATACTTTACCCTTAGGTGGCGTTTGGTTGGATGGAATCCCTTGGAATTGAGGGGAATTGGAATCCAATTCCACTACTTTCTCATATTTGATTCAAGTTTTCTAAGGAAATTGGAATTTCTCATGGCTTCAACTTTCCATCAAACGAGGGAAAGTGAATTCCATCCAAGAATGGATGAAATTCAATTCCTTTGTTGGAGGGAATTGAAATTTGACCATACTACCCTCATCAATCTTTTGGTAATTTATTTATATATTGAATAAAAATATTTTTTTATTATTTCGGATCGAGTCGGGTTTCTAATTCATATATTCGGGTCGGGTCGGGTGAAACTTTATTTTGGTTGGGTCTATCGGTTTTTTTAAGTGTGATATTTGAGTCGGGTCGAGTTCAGGTTTAGGGTGAAAAATACCTGACCCGAAAATATATATAATTTTACCTTATATATCTAGGAATAATTACAATAATACCCCTCTCTCTATATATTTTTTCAATTAAGTCACTGTTTTTATTGAATAAAAATATTTTTTTATTATTTCGGGTCGGATCAGATTTCTAATTCATATATTCGGGTCGGGTCGGGTGAAATTTTATTTTGATCGGGTCGGGTTTTTTAAGTGTGATATTCGGGTCGAGTCGGGTCGAGTTTTTTAAGTGTGATATTCGGGTCGGGTTTTTTTAAGTGTGATATTCGGGTCGGGTCGGGTTTAGGGTAAAAAATGGGACCGACCATAAAAAATATATATAATTTTACCTTATATATTTAAGAATAATTATAATAATACCCCTCTATATATAATTTTTTTCAATCAAGTCAATGTTTTTATTGAATAAAAATAATTTTTTTATTATTTTGTGTCGTGTCGGGTTTCTAATTCATATATTGAATAAAAATAATTTTTGGTATATTTTTTTGAAAGTAATTAACATACTCCGATTGAAATGTATCGAAATATTATTTTATTTTTTGGTAACTTATTAACATATTTTGATTGTGATGATTTTAACTTATGATGTTTATTAGTATGATTTTTATAATTTATTGAAATGAATAATCAATCAATAAAATGAAAATTTAATATTTTTTAATTTTTTTATAATATATTACTATATGTAAGTTGTAAAACAAATTAAAATAAAGCAAAAAAATAAGAAGGGTAATTCTGTCATTTTACATTACTGAAATCAAATTCATCTGACATGTCTGTGAACCAAACAGAATATAGAATTAGATTCTAATTATTGACATATTCCAATTCTTTCACAGATTTCAATTCTTTCACAGATTTCAATTGTTTCACAGATTTCAATTCCTTCACAGATTTCAATTCCTTCACAGATTTCAATTCCTTCCCAGATTTCAATTCCCTCGTAAACATTCCAGCGAATCAAATCACACCTTAAAACATTTTTAAGATTTCGATTCAAGTTTTAATGGAGTAAAATAAACATTCCAAACCGAAATTTGTTTTTCAAGCAGACGTGTTCAACCCAATAGGGAAAATAACATAGACAGTGAACGCCATGGCGGATTAAACTCAGTAAAGACCATGACCGTGAATCTCAAAACCGAGAGGCTGAGTGGAAGAATGGAGGGAAAAACTTATCTGGAAATTGGAGCTGATGGCGTGGCTATCATCACCATCAACAACCCACCTCTTAATTTGCTCTCCGTCGATGGTTGCTTTCTACCCCATTTCTAAATTTTTAAGCTTTAATTGTTTCATTAACGGACTATAACTTTTCTGTTGATATTTTTTCTTCTTTTCCCCAGTGATGCTTAGCCTAAAGGAGAACACTGAGCAGGCTCTTCAAAGGGATGATGTGAAAGCAATAGTAATTACAGGTAAACGGAGACTTAAGATAGTTGTGTATTATTGCCTTCGGAGATGATATTCATCATTTGTCACTAAAACAGGTTCAAATGGGAAGTTCTCAGGAGGTTTTGATGTCACAGCTTTTGGGAAAAAGGGTTAATCCGAATCATCCTACTATTCAATTTGAACTGATTCTAGTAGTATACGTATCATCCTACTATGCAATTTGAACTGATTCTTGTAGTATACGTATAATATGTTTTACTCAATCTAAATCTGCATATCACAGGAAAGCATGGGAAGCTTGGATTTTGGTCAATAGATTTTGTCACAGACATTTTAGAGGGTATATTTGTATAGTTTTGTATATTTTATTAGGAAAATTATTTGATACACAGGCCGTAAAATTTAGTTTACACAATCCATTTTAATGTCATTTTTCCTATTTACGATTTAGAGGTTAGAGTTTAGGGTTTAACATTAAAATAGATGAGGTAGCGCAAACTATATTTTACAGAGCCTGTGTATAAAATAATTTATTATCTTCTATCTGTTTTTTCTTCTGATCTTTTGTTAAGATAATTTTATGTGTTGCTTTCTTAGCTGCCAGAAAGCCCTTAGTAGCTGCTATAGATGGCCCTGCTTTAGGTGGGGGATTGGAGATTGCATTGGTATATTTTGAATGATTGATACAAATCTTTCCGTGTTTTTATTCATCAAAGTTCTGATAATTTACCTGATACCTTCTCAGGCTTGCCACGCACGGATATCAACCTCTTCAGCAGTATTGGGCCTGCCCGAGATTCGATATGGAATTCTACCGGGACTGGGTGGTAAGGCTGTGCTTATTTGGGTGTATATTGTTATCATTTAATTTCCCAGCTGCTTTATGGAAGACTATTGAGCAGTATAATTATCTCCTTAACAAAAAGGAGAAAGGAACGATTTCCCTCTACTTCTTACCTTTGCAGTCTTACACTACTGTCTTACTTCAGGGACACAGCGTCTGCCACGCCTTGTAGGTCTTCGCAAGGCTCTTGAAATGATCTTGGTATGATCACTCCTTTTGCGTGCTCTATAGGAAGAAATTATGGCTAATTTTCTTAACGCACGATGATGCAAGCATGTGTTTTTCCTTCTTTTGTTTTATTTTAGCTACTAGGATTCATAAGTGCTCTCTTCTTTCTCTCCCTCCAGATGTCAAAATTAGTGAATGGAAACGATGCACGAGGCATGGGTCTCGTGGATGCGATATCTTCAGTAGATGAATTGGTTACCGTTGCTTGTCACTGGGCTAAAGACATTTTAGCGCATAAAAGGCCGTGGATTGTTAGTCTTTACAGAGCAGATCGATTAGTGCCCCTAACAGAGGCTAAGATGATGCTTGAGCATGCCAGAGTTAAGTCCAGAAAACAATCGCCAAATCTCAAACATCCATTGGTTTGCATTGATGTCATTGAAGAAGGATTAATTCGTGGTCCAAGAACTGCACTTTGGAAGGTATTTTTTATGGTCAGTTTTTGGTTTGTATTGCAGAAAACTTTATTTCTGTACAAGATGGCATGCTGATTTTTATAGGAATCGGAGGCATTAAATGAACTTCGACAATCTGACACTTGTAGGAGTTTGGTCTACTTCTTCTTTGCGCGGCAGAGAACTTCCAAGGTATGCAGTCATAGTAGCACTAATTCAATACCAGTAGGAGTAGTTGGTATAAGCATATACTTCTTTGCAAGTCAAACAAAAGCAAATAATATAAATTTGTAGTGATATCTCAATGCTTATCATAATGTCCAGATTAGTTTGAAATTGCATAGATTGTGTGTCAACCCAAACAAGTAATTGATATGAACATATATATCCTTGAGATTAAAGAATACGATTGAAGCTCTACCGTTGTAGCTAAATTGATGCTTCTATCTTTACTAGTCTATGGTGTTTCTAGTTTTCTTGATATTTTGAGATTTTACCTTGCCATGTCATTCTTATCACTCATCGAAAACATGTCCTTTGTCTAAATTGATAAACAGGTGCCTGGTATAACTGATCTGGGTTTAACACCAAGGAAAGTGAATACATTTGCTGTTGTTGGTGGAGGAATAATGGGTTCTTCCATAACAACGGCACTCATTCTTAGTAAATACTCGGTGATTTTGAAAGAAATGGATGAAAAGGCCCTGCTGACTGGAATTGAAAGAGTGAAAGGTGAAAATAAACATTTGTTTAGGTGAATGATTTCCACACCCCACCCCACCCCCATCCCTTCTTTTATTTTCTGCTATTTTCCTCTCACACAGGCTCTTGTAGTCGAACTTTTTCTGCTATCATAACCTGCCTCATTCTTTTTTTCTGTTTTCCCTCCAGTAAATTTGCAAGATCATGTCAACAATGGCAAACTGGAAGAAGGAAAGCTTGATAAAACCCTCTCTCTTTGTAAAGGTGTTCTCCGCTATGAAGGTTTTAGTGAAGTGGATATGGTCATCGAGGTTTGGTTTTTACGGTGAACCACTGCTAATGTTTCTCTCCCTCCCCCCAAAATAAAACATACACCCCAATTCCTCTAAGCTTCTAGTTCTTGCCTTTATAAGTTATAATTGAAATGCTAAATTACAATTGAGGTTTGCATGGTCAATTATATTCACCTTGTATGCTTACCATCAATGGCTATCTCGTTTTGGCCACTCCTGCCTGTCCCGGATTTGTCACCAAAAAATACAGTTGAAGGCCTGTAAATTTTCTCCATATAGAAGGGATATATGTCTAAAATTCATGGAAAAGTGCAAAGAGATAAGTTCCTTGTTAGAAAAGTTATGCAAGAAGGATAACATGAAACAAGGAAATACTTGGTGCTGTGAGGTTGTCAAAGAAAAGCAAGAGAAAGATAAATTAAGAACAATAATAACTATATTTTTAGTGTTAGTTTTGGTGACCCGAGACAAAGTTGTATTCTTCTTTTTCTAAATTAGTGAAAATTTTCTTCATTTGCTTGTGATTTTTCCTTTTTAGGGTTTTTTTCACGTAAATTTATGTCTCTTTTATTGTGCGAATGATTTACTGCCATTAGCTTTCTCTTATAGTATTACATTGAGATTTGAGGTTGTCAAAGAACCTGACTTCTTTTTTCCCTTTTGTGTTTTAAGCAGGCTGTTGGTGAAAATATTTCTTTAAAGCAGAGAATTTTTGCTGAGCTTGAAAGTTATTGCCCACCACTATGCATACTTGCGAGCAGTTCTTTCAAGATAAACTTGAATTCAATCAGTGAAAGGATGAAATTGCAAAACCGTTTCGTCGGGACTCATTTTTTCAGGTGGGTTTGGTTTGTTCTTCTTTTGGTTTTAGTTTCTGGCCTCGCATTGATGTTTGCTTTTGATGCAGTCAAGCTCATTCCGTGCCGATCCTGGAGATAGTTGCAACAGAAAAAACATCTCCTCAAGTCATTGTTGACTTGCTAGCTATTGGAAAGAAGATGAAGAAAATCCCGGTAGTAGTCCACAATTCCACTGGGTTTGCAATGAACCGGATGTTCTTTCCTTATTCACAAGCAGCTATGATGCTTGTTGAACATGGAGTTGATCTCTATCAGATTGACCAAGCAGCTGAAGCATTTGGAATGACAACTGGGCCATTTAGGTACTTTTAAATGTGCAAAGAATTGTACCTAATTCTGGTTTACTCAATGCTAAGAATCATTTGGTCCTGCAAGAACGGAGTGTGTTGGTTTAAGTATCCCAACAATCTGAACAGTTATTCTCTTTCTGATTTTAACATCTTGGCCAAAAAATTATGTAGTATCCATCCCGTTGGGTCTAAACTTTCTGTTTTGATGCAGAATGATCGATTTTGTCGGTTTCGAGGTTTTAACTGAAATGAAGGTCCAATTCAGAAATAACTTTGGAGAGAGATTCAATGAGTCGAAGCTGACTTCAGTCATGCAAGAGGCCAATCAATCAGGTATGATGTCAACCCCAAATAAATGACAGTCTCTTTCGGCACAGTAATCAGCCAGAAAGGACCCACTAAATCTATCTTAGGTGTTCTATTTCTTCTCTTTCTATTTATCAAGGCTTATAGTTCTAACATGTACGTCACTGTCTCCTGTTTCAGGTGAAACTACGAAAAAGGGTTTCTACATCTATGACAGGGAGGCCAAGTTTACCTCTAACCCTGATATTATAAAGTATGTCAACAAGGCAAGGAGCATCTCCAGTTTTGGTGTTGATTATGAGGTTATTTACATTTCCCTGATTTTCGTCCATGTGAATTTCTTACAGTTCGGTTATATTTCTCAGGTTCCATGCTGGACTATACAACAAGTAGGAATGAAGTAGCTGTTTTAAATGCTATATTGCTTTTTCTCTGAATGAGTTTACGGATTTCTAACTCGAAAGATTCTCCCTACCCATTCCTCGTCTTTTCATGTATGCATGCATATTTGATGGCTTCCAATTTGTTAACAGTTGATGAAATTGTCCGATGAAGAGATAGTTGAAATGATCATCTTCCCTGTTGTCAATGAGGCATGCCGCCTTCTCGAGGAGAAAGTTGTTATCAAGGCATCAGATCTCGATGTTGCTTCTGTTACCGGCATGGGGTTCCCAGAATATAGGTTTGTGCCCCACTTTTATTTTTTTCTCTTTCTGATAGTTGAATGCTTAGTTCCTGATTTCAATATTAATGATGAATTGTCTTTAAGGGGGGGAATCATTTTCTGGGCTGATACCATTGGACCAAACTATATATGTTCGAAACTGGAGAAATGGACAGAGACTTTTGGAGCGTTCTTCAAACCCTGCTCCCACTTAGCAGAAAGAGCTTCGAAAAGAACATCTCTGGTGAGCCATTTGCTTATTTTCTTTTCCTAGATTAGTTGAACCCTCTCCAATTTGCAATGTTTTTCATTAGCATTCATGTCTGCATCTTGATCATGCCTTTGCTAGACCAATTCCCACATGGCATGACCATTTTCAGTTCAAGTCCCACATGGTAAATGCATAATCAGATATTTACATCACATTATAACATATATGCCGCACCTGCAGGGGAGAGAGGAGCAAGCGAAGTCTCAACTATAGCCGAAGAATGACACCATGGAGACTCGGAAAAAAATCAGTAGGGAAATTATACGAGTCATGACGAATGCACACAAAAACATATATCTAAATGCCTGTATTATATGTATGCGTATACAATGTGCCCGATGTATTCATCATTGTATGTAACGATTCAACCGTGCACTTTGAATGGTACAAATAGATCAAGCATTTCCAAATCCTATTGGCTAGCATATCAATTGACAAAAATATTCAAGAAACTAAGCAACGAATGGATTTTTACTTACAGGCATATAGCAAAGGGTCTTAATGCAATTCTACGAACAAATTCAATCATGGTCATGGCCAAAAAGGATTTAATACAACAAAAATGTCAATTCAAATCGATTAATTTAATGCAGCCAGACAAATAAAATAATGAAAAAAAAAACTGCTGTGCCTTCGATCAAGTGCTAGCAAGGAACTACTAACGAGTAACATATAACGGCAATTGCAATCAACTAAGGTGAAGGGTAAAAGGCAAAACAAAATATAGACATATATACATCTCCTTGACAAGTCAGCTCACATCCTTGAGTCTTTTTAGCAATGCATCCAAAGATTTCTTTTTTGGATTCTGCCTGGCACCCCAGCTCCCAAGGTTCCGAATAGCCGATCTGATGAATCCCGTAACTTCTCTGAAATTGTCACAACTTTCCTGTAGTCCAGGGCATTGTAGCTCCTGTCTCTAATTACTGGGTTCAGAAAATTCTCTGGCTGATTGCTCAAAAGCAAATTGATCAACTTCCTTGACTCTGCAAGTGCACTTTTCAATTGATTTGCATCCCCTTCGGAAAGGGCAGGAGATAGGTTATCCGCAAAAGATTCTAACAACCGAATATCTACATCAATCCCCATTTTAGCATTTGCGTTAAACCTCTTCACTGAATCTCCGAGTAAAGCCCCAACAATCTTCTCTGATCTGTGAGAAAGAACATCTTGTAAAACTCTTTTAAGAATTTGAGGAGGCAATATCTGTTGAGCAGTAGAAACCAAATTTTCCAAATATATTCTCATTTACATATTCATTACCACCCTGTGAAGCTTCGTCAGTCGTCCAGTTCACATTCTCAATCAAAGTCATGAAACCATCAACTTTTCTTTTGAGCATTCCAGACAACGTCTCTTCTGCAGCATCACGGGCATTGTTAAGAGGAAACTGTTTCCTACCCCTTTCTGCCATTCTCAAAGGAATGCCTGAAAGCTGTGCAGCATGACGAAAGAAGAAATCACAAGCTCGCTCCAAAACAGCCATATTTGCCGCAACCTGCATTGCCTGGGAAACTCCTCGGACAGATGAACTAATCAGCTTCAAAAGAGCCTCATCCAAAACCTCACCCAAAAGCCGGTCCAAATATTTCTTTACAACATCATAGAAATCCAACTGCCAACCATAAGACATAAAACTAACAGAATCCGCGATAAAAAATCTCACAATCCGGCAACAATCAGGCACAGTAGATGAAAATGGCGCAACATAAGGAAATGCTGGAACAATATCTGACGTTTGTAATTGGAAAGACAGCACATTCATCGAGTACTCATATTCCTTCTTCATCAAAATCTGCTCAAATTTATCATCAGCAAGAGCCTCTGCAATCTGCTTCCGACAATCAGATAATAACAGCTCATGGTACTTATCCCTATGCTTACTCAAAACATTAAGCAATGTATCAACAGGGTAGCCATATGCCCATAACTACGCAAAGTAACTACTAACAAACTCACATAATCCTTAATCAGTAACAAGTGATTAGCAGTTTGCATCCTAAAAAACTGATCCTTTAAGACCGAGCACATTTTACCAACTGCAGTCTCCCACAAATTCTCAACCTCCATTTTGGAAACCAAACCCCCGCCTGTCCTTAAAATGCGATCTTCTATTATAAAGAACCCCGCAATTTGAGCAAAAAATGTTTGATGAGATTCAAGGAACGGAGTCATAGAAGATACTTGAAAATCAGACGTTAATTGAAGCTTTCTATTCTCAAAGTAATACTGCTTAAATCGATATTCGAGTCCTAAAGTTTGATGAATATGATAAGCTCTATAAAGAGGTGTCAAATCAAATCCAAACAAGTCGTTTTTACCGTTACTATAACTGTCATTCTCGTCTCCTCCAACTCCACCTTCTTCATCATCTTCTTCTAAAGCGTAAACGCAACCTCTCAAGCTGAGTCCGCTCTGTTCTTCGGCTTGCCTTTGTTTGATTCTCAGATCTTCTTCTCGCTGACGGGCAGCCGAGGCTTGTCCAATTGCTAATTAGCCTAAATTGCGCTTCACCACGCGAATATCCACGAGCCAATCGTCGAACTCTTTGCTGATCTTGCGCTCCATATGAGATCGAATCTCTGGAATCTTGCTCTCCAGCATCCTTTTTAAAGTAGATGATAGCGTTTTATCTTGGAACTCGTTTTCGATCAAATCTAAACATTTATATGCCATGTAGAAACTGCCGTTTGAGAGGTGAAGATTTGCTCTTGAGCAAAGTTCCATCAACTTAATACACAATGTAAGCGATTGCAGAGCCGAATTTACGTTCTTTGGAATATTTTGAGCTACGACTAAGGAGTCAAGGAAAGAAAGGAGATGACCGCCGACTGATTGGAGCCTTGAGTTGGAGTCGGCGAGGGCGGATTTGAGAGAATCAACGTCGGACAGAAGAGATCGTAGATCATCGACGGCCAGGATGAAATCTTGGTAGTGAGATTTACAAACTTCTTCGATTTCCGATTCCTTAGAACGAGCGAGTGACGGAGGTGGTGAAGGAGGGTTTCAGGCCTTCCAGAAGCGAACACTTTGCGAACAAAAGGACCAAGGTCCTCGCCGTTACAGATGGCCGAGGAAAGGAGTAGTTGTTCCAATTGTCTCCGGAATCTACGCCATCTGCGGCTGCTGGAGCCACTTTGCGGCGCGACCTCATTGCCTGCATTTCTTTTGCCGGTGACGGTGATGGCGCCGTGATTTAAGAAAGAGAGGGAGGGGAGAGGAATGTTGAATCTGGAGTGCTTTTGGACAGAATTTTTGTTATTTTCAGTTTGACAGAAACGGCACTGAGATAATGGAAAATAGTAAGGGGTTATTTGTAATTCCGGAAGGCCATTGGAGATTTGTCTCACTCTGTTAAGACTTTTGGGTTGTACAACTACAATATTACCCGCCCTAGTCATTAGTGTTGTGTATATTGAATGCTATTATGTAGAAACTAATAATTTATGGATTTGAGATCAAGTATTTAAAGTATACTATATTATGCGAATATTATAATCAACATCCACATTGAATGTATATTAAATTTTTATATGTTTAACGTTCATTCTATACAAAAGATTCGTCTAAATTGACTTCCTTTCTTCTTCTACATGTCCATGAGTTTCAGTTTCACCTCCTTCGACTGCTTCATCAACTCTATTCCTGGCGTTTATAACCTTTGAAATTGCCTTTGATCTTTTCTTCTCAAATCATAATAATGTAATAATTTCAAGCCAATTTAAATACAACAAAAAGTATGATTTTATGTTTTCAATCTGCGACATGCCCAACACAACTCCTGATTCCAACGCATAAGTATAACAAGTCTTGACAAAGGATAAGCTTTCAAAACATTCATTCAAACCTGTACAGAATACGCACATTCAAAGAACAAGTGACGACGCGTTTCTTTGTTCCCTCAAACACAAATTGCATACACTATCAATATTCGACCCGTAAAAGAGAAGTTTGTTTTTTGTTTGAACCTATCTAATACCGCTATTGAAGTTATGACTAAATTTTTAGAGATTTGATCTAAGTGTCAAATCAACTTACCCCATAAAACTTTATCCAATACTACTACTTTGTGAGCTACTAATCGATCTGTTTGTTAAAATATATGCATCGACCCACACAATTCAAATTGATCCTTTTTTTTGGATAATTTCAAATTGATCCTTCTTTTAAGTAAAAGTCTTCTAATCAACTGATTAAATATAGATACAAACAACAAATGAAAGAATAAAATATTTAAATGGATCAAAAATTTCATCCAATCCATCTCATCATATACATCCCTATCTGGTACAAATAGCATAAGCTTGTGTATAAGTTTATGGAATCATTAAAAAATTACCATAAATAAGATTTTTATTTTAATATCTATAAGAGGTGGAATTGGGCATATAAACCAAGCAGGTCATTTATTTAGCCCAATAGGACATACTGATTTTTATTTTGAGATCTACGACAAATGTTATAGTGGATATGAAGTTCGTCATACCGTCGTGACGAATTTCATGGGATACATTTTTTTAATGGGTAGCGGGACGTGAGTCCCACAGCCCGAATATATTTAATATTTATTAAGTGCTAATAAAAAAATATTTGTTTTGGATTTTTTTTAAAAAATTGTAAAAGAAAATATAAGATTTTAATGGATAGGAAACTCGTCACACCGGTGTGATGAGTTCTAACGGGTATAAATTTGAAGTTTTGGACCGTTAGGGTGACCGTTGTTGAACGGACAAATTTTTTTAAAATTCAATAGAACTCGTCACGCCGGTGTGATGAGTTCCAATGGGTAAAAAAAATTTCATCTCTTAAAATAGTGTACATCATCTTCAATCTCTTACATAACACACTCCTTTCATCTATTACACAATACACTCCTTTCATCTTCAATCTCTTACACAACACAATCCTTTCATCTAACCAAATACATTTCAAACAATGAGCAACAAATTCTTTACAGTTGTCCATTATAATGGAGAAATTCTACAAACTGATATTGGTGTTGTGTTTAAGTCATACGAGCCCATCAGTATGATGTTCCCTATTGTTAGGATTTGAAGAGGCTCAATTTGAACAACTGAAAGAGTTGCAAAGGGGTGAATATATAATAATTTGATTAGGGAGTAAGAAGAGCAAAAGATAGAAAAATTTGGCATAATGATTTAAAGTGGTTTGACTTATCAACCAAGTCTACATCCACTCCCTAAGTTTCTCACTTAGGATTTTCTAACAAATTCACTAATTTGTTCTTTCTTTTAAAGGATCAAGAGATAACATTTACACTCCTTAGTTTTTCCCTTGGCCTACATGAACAATTTCTAAAGAATGGTTGTCAAATCCTCAATTATGTAGGAAGTTATGGGGTTGACCTGAATCTAGTTGAATTCATACTAATATGAATTATCCTCAAAGA